CAGGGGGTTGGACTAGATGACCTTCTGGGGTCCCTTCCAACCCTTATATTCTATGATTCTAAGTAACAGGAATCGACTCCTTTCCCTCTGTGATGACAAGGAACGTCTGTCACTTCCAATTCCAGAAGAGACCAAATTTCTTGAAGCAACATGATCTTGTGAGATGGGTCCCTGAAAAGGAACAGAGGTTGGGGAAAGGGAAGAGATGAACAGGATAATATCTCTCTCCTTCGTAGTCGTGAGCAACCATGTGTTCAATGTTGTTTCATTCCAAACACTGGAAAGAGTGATAGTTGTCCAAAAGGTGGGAGGTGTTGAGATTGATATGCTGCCCTTGAGGAGGCAGTAATGATGACTTCTCAGGAGGCTGTCAATGTCTGATGAGAAGGGCATGATTGAGACAAAGCCATTTGGCAACGTCAAGAAGGTAGAGATCACCATTTAGGAGAGTCCTGGAATCTCAGCTGGAAATGTGATTTGTAGACGTGCTGAGGTCTAAACTGTTTCCTCTTTTGAGCTTGGGATGTAAACTCATCAAGATCTCAGAGTTGCTTGGAGACTTTCAGGATATGAACGGAGGCATCAGTCTTTTCAGAGAACGGCTTAAATCCCTCAAAAGGCAAGTTCTTGATTATATTTTGCAGCTCCTTTGGAATTCCAGATGCCTGGAGCCAAAAGAACATGTCACACCAACGGCAGTGGCCATCAATTGTGAAGCCATATCAGCTGCATCAATAACTGCCTGGAGGGATGTTTTTGCTGCGAGTCAAGAACCATAAACTGTTCCCTATACTCCTCTAGTAGTTTGTCTAAAAATTTTACAGCATTAGCAAGTTAACAAAATTATATTTGGACAGGAGAGCTGGATAATAGCCACCCTCATTTGCAGAGTAGCTGTGCTGTGGATTAAGTTTTTCTGTCATGCATATCTAGTCTCTTGAGCTCCCTGTCTTTAGGAGTAGCTTTGGGATGAAACTGGAGGGAGCACTCATTGGCAGCCAGGGCCACCAATGAGTCAGGGAGTGGATGTGTGAAAAAATAATCAAAGTCCTTTGGAGGTAATTGTTAGCATCTATCCAATCTCTTGCTGAAGATGGTATAGAGTCTGGAGTCTGCCAAACAGTTTTCAACTGCTCCAGCAAGGATTCATTAATGGAAAGGGCAACCCCTCTTGGAACAGGGATTTGTAAAATATTGAGGCTACTGTGCAGATTTTCTTGAACAAGCTCCACCTATTCTCCTAAAGAAGTGGCCATGTTTCTCATTAGGTCCAGGAAGACCTTAAAGTACTCTGGAGATGGAGCATTCGGTTTCATCTGGAGATGAGGAGGAAATATGTGAAGGGACATCCAGGGGTGCTCATTATGATTCAAACCCATGAGAGGAGAAACAGTCAGGGTAGCCTGGTGAGAGGTTTCTTGGACTGGAAAAGGGAACCTCCTTCTGGTATTAGATTTTTATGGGAATTTCAAATCCCTTGGTATGGGCAGCTACCAGTATGGCCATGCAGAGTACTGCACAATTTGAGTGCCCAGGTGAAGGGCACCATTTTGGGGCTTCCTTGTAGGAAAACCATCCACAGTCCTTAAAACCTGTGTCCCTTTTATGACGTGTACAAGGTGACCTGAAAGACTGGGATGGTGACATGCGCCTCTCAGATTCAGTCTGAAGAGGAAATGTAGTATTCTTCAGGAAATGGAGGGGTCATTCTTGTTGGGTTTGTGGAACTCTTGATGCGGGAAACACCCTGGGATCTATATACAGCAGTATGAGATGAAGAGGTCTAACAGCATCGATGACGTTGAAGACTCCAATGGTGCTGATCTTGCTGGCAAAGTTGACCTCAGCAGAGTTGCTTGTGGTGCTGACTACATCAGGTATGTTGAAAACACTGTTGGTGCCAACCATGCCAGAAATGCCTGCGTTGACAGTGCCAAGTTCACTTACTGTACTAACGGGAGCAAAAGTGCCAAAGACCCCATAGTGGTAAATAATAGACCATTAGTAGAAGTGGAGAGTCTGGTAAAGGGAGACACATAAGAGCCCTTGCAGCCATGAAGGTTTCATTAATCAAGGCACTGAGACAGGTAAGTCCTCTATTAGGCTTGGAAGGATAAGATTTTTATTTATAAAGGTTGCAACTATAGATGCACAAACCAATGAGAATATTTCCACCAATACAAATAAAAATTTACAGATAAGCAAAGTAATAAAAATGCTGCTTGGGAACTTATTAGAGTCCCACCTTAACATTTATAAAACATGTTGCGATCCCAGCATTAGTAGAGCTGGAGTAGGGGTACCATTTTTATAGCTTTAACTTTTTGAATCTCAGTGCCTACTGTCTTTCAATAATTAATGTCTGACCTTCCCCCCCCACCCCACATAATTGCTCGCAACTGTGAAAATTTAAATAGATAAAAATAAAAAATCCTTAACAATAAACATCTATATTATCTGTCTATATATATATATATATATATATATATAAAAACCTGATTCTGCCAAGCTGCCTATTGTCAGTACTTGCACTGCTGTTGGAGCCGATGGTACTGAGATGGTTGGGATTATCTTTACATCCAGGGTCCAGTAAAGACAACGGCACTGGACTTGATGGCTCAAGACTCACTCAGTGAAGACCGATATTTTGATCATTAACAGTACCGTTAACAGATTTTATGTACGTAAACCCAAAGGAACACTAGACCTCCAAATGTTTAATGAACAGAAATTATTTTGGATAAATTTCTGATATCATTATTTGAAAATTGAGAATTACAAAATTATATTCCAAATCTTAGTTATAAAAAGCAATGACTTTCTGTACGAAAAAAGAAAAGGGAAAAAAAAGGAGAGCTAAGTTAGGATAGGCCTGAATGCAGTTATTGATTAAGACAGGATCCTTGGAAGTTCACCCTGCTTTGGAAGGGCCTCAAATAAAGCATCGAGTCAGTGCATAACAGATGTACTACATAGGAAGAAAATGCACCATAGGCCCAAGATACCTCTTCTGAAGCCATTAGGTCACAATTACAGGACCTGAGGGAAAGGAAAAAAGGCAGCAGCTGCACAAGCCCCAAGTTGGTATACACTGCTCATTTTGCTGGCTTTCTGGTGTGGAAGTAGATAAAGGGAATTTGGATGCAGGCCTCTGAAATGAGCAGGAGTCAGGCTAACTCTAGCTTTAATAACGCGAGATTTGTAGAAGCGGGGATAGTGCGAAGCGAGTGGAAAACAATTGTGAAAGAGGCTGTTGCGACCTTGTATTAGATAAGACTAGAATGCTGACTAGAAGAGAAATGGTAAGAAAAATAAGAGATCATGAAGGAATATGTATAAAACTGCGGTTGTTGCTTATTATTGTCTGTAATAAATACTTGCTCTAATTGTTTATCTTGGAGAGACCTGCCTAGGTGGGGGAAACCCTGTGTCCTAGTGCACTCTCTCCCTCTGTGCAATTGCTTGAGATACACTTTATCTGACTTGCTGCACCCAACCTTGAGAGTGAGAACTGTGTTTTTCTCCAACACTGGTTAGTTTAAAGGGAAGTGGGGGAAACGTTTTGATGGACCTGGGTCCATTATAGACTTACATCCATTGCTGCCCACATATAGTACTTCAAGGTCAAAATTTATATTTTTAAAAATATTCCTGTGAAACTTGTATAGAGTAAGGGACGTTTTGCCACATGTCCTTTACTATTTACATTATATAACAGTCAAAAACACCTACATTTGCTTGATAGGCTCCACCATGCTTAAATTACTAAATGTAATATATGAGGATTTACTTGGTAATCGTAATCAGTTTTACATAATATTTCACATGCTAATTGTAAACTACAAAAACCTTATGTGCTGAATGACTCCACTGACCAACCAAGGGGCATTTAGCACAAACATAACTAAAAACTTACCTTTTTTTCCTCTTTGTAGGGCCCCTGAAGAGACACTAGCCAACACCTGCTTTGGTGCAATGCCCCTGTTTGTACCATGCAGCGAAATCACAGCTAACACCTTACCTTGTTGGAGCCTACAAAAAGTCTATAGGTGATTAGCTAAAGTTCCATTTTTTCGCTATATTGTCTGATCTCTAGTGGCTTTTTTTGTTTGTTTGAATTAATTTAGTGCACTTTCTGAGTGTCAATGACGGGTACTCTTCAATAACAGAAATGAATATATCCTCTCTCTTCTGGCTGGAGAGAGAAAATAATGTAAGGAAACCCCAAAACATGTTTCCTGGGTTCAAGATGGAAAATGATTTGTCTCAAACTTGTTCAAGACTGGACTGAATCAGTAAATTTGTACCCCAGTATTTCTCACACCTTAATTTATCTCTTTGAAATTATGACACCACATGGCAGCAGGTCTGACAATCTTTCTGCTGGGCCTCACTGCAGAAGCTCCTGGAGACAACCCTTTCTTTGCACTTGAGTACTTGACAGATTCTTCTACACCTTGCAAAATCTGAATAGTTCTGGGATTTCAAATGCACATGGTGCATTCTAGGCACAAGAAATAGACAAGACTCGGAATACAGCAGTAGTGGACCCATCTTACAGGCTGCTAGATGGGATCAGATCTCTTTATAGTTTCAGAGATTGAAAAGAAGAGGTGGGGGAATTGTTAGGCTGCCATCTAATGCCTCAATCCAAACCTAGAAAGGTTATTTCTGGAGCCACATGCGGCTCTTCAGAAGTTAATATGCGGCTCCTTGTATAGGCACCAACTCCAGGCCTGGCACTACAGGCACCAACTTTCCAACGTGCCGGGGGGTGCTCACTGCTCAAGCCCTGGCTCTGCCACAGGCCCTGCCCCCACTCCACCCCTTCCTACCCCCTCCCCTGAGCCTGCTGTGCCCTTTCTCCTCCACCTCCGAGCCTCCTGCATGCCATGAAACAGCTGATCGGGAGGTGTGGGAAGGGAGGGGGAGGTGCTGATCAGCAGGGTTGCTGAAGGGCGGGAGGCACTGGTGTGGGGGAACACAAACATACTGCATACCTGAAAGTCACAGCTTGCATGAATTCATCAAGAAGGTCGTCATAGGCTTGACCCCGAACTCTTTTGTGCCTCAGTCCAATATATAAGGGATCTTTTAGCAACTCCTGTTAAAGGAAGTACGAACTATTAATAAAACAAAAGTTACTTTTTATTTACAGTCTAATAAAAACAAGGACAGAGAGAGAACAACACAGTGTTTGAATTAACTGGAATAAATGGGATATATATCCATTAGCATATAAAGACTGAAGGAATGCAACAAAGATTGAAGAAATATTCAGTTGTATCATGTGGGCAATAGAATGAATCTGTGTCATTCCCAAGAGAAGAAGTAAAGATTTAAGTCAGGTTTCACAACTTCTAGTACTGATGGAAATAAGTCAGAACCCTATTATAAATCATATTCCTTTTTTAATACTTCTCTTATTTTAAAGAATAGAAAGGAGGTACATAAAAAGGCAAATACTGGTTTTCCTCATAAAATTTGCTTTTCATATATTAAGGTTTCATACAGTGTTTTAGATTATAATGTTGGAGTACCAGCATGCATGGTATCCATTCCACAGAGAATAACCAAGTGCAGCCTTGCCCACCTCTAAACTAAGCTAAAACTCTGTGGTTTTGGATTATTCTTGTTCAATGAACAGTGTATTTCAGAGGCAGCATATCACATTTTATGTTCTGGTAGCTATGTTGTCATTAAAAAAAAGACCAAACTACCAGTAATACAGACTTATATTTCCGTATTATTACAGATCTGTCACAGACTCTTGGCTCTTTAGTTTCTGTAAGAGGTATGATTTGTCTTGCTATGGCACCAGTCCATATAAATATGGTTTCAAGATGCTCAGTCCCATCATTTGGATTCCTGGTATAAACTGAGTTCAAACTGTTAGCCAGTCTGCAGCTGTGCCATCTGCCAATAATTGCTTCTTTTTGATGCCTCTTCTGCTTTGGTTTTAGATGAACTAACACAGTAACTTTTTATGTTCACAAGTTCACTGCTCAGGAATTCTTATGTTAGGGAAAAAGTAGCAAAATGTCACGATCAAAACTTTCTAGAATAAAAACCATGAGTTCTTATTCAGCTTTAGAAAAACAACAATGTTAAATCATTTCTCTTGCTATATGAAAAACTGTTTAATATGCAAGAGAACTATTCAGTGACAAGAAGCATTTATTTCTTTAATAAACTTGGTTATAGGAAATGTACATACTTTTTAGATGTGTATCAAGATTTGGCTTTGGATAAATTATTCAGCCAATTTTTGACCAAAATTAATACATTTTGCTGCAGTAAAATATTTGGTCATATATCTATTCACAGCTAACTAATGAGGATGAGGTGTCTGAGGAACACAGTACCTGCAACGTAGCTAACTTGGCAAATTCTTTTCCTCTTATTCTCATGTTTTTATCATTTCAGACACTTGCACCCTACCATGGTGTATCTGACTTCCTTTCTCATTCCCCATCACTATCAATAGCCCTATGTTTGTTCTCGCCTGGTCACCTTACTCTGTTCTTTCCTTTTTGACAGGTTACCTCCTTCACTTCATCAGCCTCAGCTTCTCTTCCTTATATGGTGGGGGGCGGTCTGGCATAAACCAATCTGACTCCAGAATATTTTTTTCTTCACTCTGGTTTTATTTTTCCTTTTTTACATGGCAGGCCTCAGGATGGATGCTAGAAGTTCTCTTAAGCAAAAACACTCACCCCCAACCTCATAATGCAAACAGAAATACTTTTCCCTGCCCCTTCTTCAGGGTATTACCCTACTATATTGGCTCCTAGTCACCAGTCCTTCCCCCCCCAAGCAGCTGTTACCTTAGTTTCTTTCCCTATAGGGTGGGGAGACAGCCTTTCCTTCCTGCTGCTGCCCACTACCCCTGCTGCAGCTTGTCTCTCATCTGTGTCCTCCTCTTTCTCATCAGAAGAGAGGTTTTTAAAGGTCACTGGTAGCCCTTAACTGGCCTCAGGTGTCTCTAGTTAACCTTTGGTAAACCTTTTTTCAGCTCATAGGGAACAGGTCCTTCACCAATCTAAGGCTGATATATTTGCCTTCCACCACTCTCTTATATCTGTCACGACTGACTTTATCACACCTTCTTTTGCCTCCAATCTATCTATGAGAAGTGCCACGATGTTCTTCCACTCTGGTACTATAGGATATTTTAACACAACAATCTGAACACAATTGGGCTTGGGCTCATCCTGATCTGTTGTGGTAATGAGTATTACAACTTGGGGCCTTCTGTTGAGAATGCTTTCATCCTGAGCACTGTGGGATTACCTGATGACAGCATCTGTTTTTGTGGGTCTTGGAGAGACTAATTTCAAATGCCTTTCTGAAATGTTGATGGAAACTGAATTATTTGGGACTAGCTGATGCTATATTGCACTGAAGTTGTGTAAAGGTCAGTTGGGTACCAGTTAAAAAATTATCATTACATTCAAAGGAAGTTCTTTTATTGTTTGATGAAAGTTCAGTAGTTGAATGGCAGCCTCAAGGATCAAGAGGATAAGGAAATTATACAAATTACACAGAATTTAAGCTACTTTGCTCAGTGCAGAAGGGAACAGATTAGTCAATAGCCTAATCTTACCACCTGCATTCCATCCTCATTCTCCTTGACTTCCCAGCAGCTTTTGACAGTCAACCACACCCTACATCTTGAATCTCTGTTCTCCGCTGGCATTCATACCTCTGTTTTATGACTCTCCTCCTATCTGTCTTATTGCTTCTTCAGTATGTTGTTTGGAGGGTTGTTGCTGGCCCCCTCTCCACTTTTCAGTAGGTATTGCCCTAGGCTCCATCTTTGGTCCCCCTCTTCTTTTTCTACACACACTCTCTAGGTACTCTTAATTTCAGAAATAGCTGTGACTCCTATCTTTATGCTGATCGCTCAAATCCGTCTCTGCACTGACAAGCTGTCTTCCTCAATCCAATCCAGCATTTCAGTCTGTCTTTCTGATACCTGTGTTTGTGGATGTCAAGTCAACATCTCAAATTCAATATGGCCAAAACTGAGTTCTTGATCTTTTCTGTCAAAGTCCTCCCTTCTCCCACTTTTCTCTATCACTCTGGACTACACTACCGCCCTTCCCAGTGATCCAAGCCTCTAATTTGGGTGCCATTTTTGACTCCGCCTTCTCTAGACCTGTCATAAATATAAAGGGAAGGGTAAACCCCTTTAAAATCCATCCTGGCCAGAGGAAAACTTCTCTCACCTGTAAAGGGTTAAGAAGCTAAAGGTAACCTTGCTGGCACCTGACCAAAATGACCAATGAGGAGACAAGATACTTTCAAAATCTGGGAAGAGGGAGAAAAACAAAGGGTCTGGGTGGGTCTGGATGCTGCTTTTGCAGGAGACAGAACAGGAATGTAGTCTTAGAACTTTTAGTAAGTAATCTAGCTATGTATGTGTTAGATTATGATTTCTTTAAATGGCTGAGAAAAGAACTGTGCTGAATAGAATGACTATTCCTGTCTGTGTGTCTTTTTTGTAACTTAAGGTTTTACCTAGAGGGATTCTCTATGTTTTGAATCTAATTACCCTGAAAGGTATCTACCATCCTGATTTTACAGAGGTGATTCCTTTACTTCTATTAAAAGTCTTCTTGTAAGCAAACTGAATGCTTTTTCATTGTTCTAAGATCCAAGGGTTTGGGTCTGTGGTCACCTATGCAAATTGTTGAGGATTTTTACCAAACCTTCCCCAGGAAGTGGGGTGCAAGGGTTGGGAGGATTTTGGGGGGAAAGACGTGTCCAAACTACATTTCCCAGTAAACCCAGTTAAAGTTTGGTGGTGGCAGTGGAAATTCCAAGGGCAAAGGGTAAAATTAATTTGTACCTTGGGGAAGTTTTAACCTAAGCTGGTAAAAGTAAGCTTAGGAGGTTTTCATGCAGGTCCCCACATCTGTACCCTAGAGTTCAGAGTGGGGAAGGAACCTTGACAAGACCCGCACTTTCACAATGTCTAAATCTTGTTGCTTCTTCTTACACAACAATTCTAAGATAAGGACTTTCCTCTGTTTACACAGCTACAACTCTCATCCAAGTCTTCAACATTTTGTGGCTTGACTGGGGCAAGACTTCTTCTTTCTGGCCTTAACTACTGCAACCTTCCTCCTTTCAAGTCCATTTAAAATGCTGTGGCCAAGATCATTTTCCTAGTTCATCACTCTAACCACATCAATCCCCTTATTTCAATCCATTCACTAGCTCCCTCTTTGCCTCTGCATCAAACACAAGTTTATTGTTTTTATCTTTTAAGGCCAGTCACAGCTCATTTAGCCCCAACCTAGCTAGCAAATTTAGTAACTTATGATACCAGCCTCAACCTTAATTCTGCCAACTTTCCCGGCCCTTACCACCTGTTACAAGATTGTTCTCTCTATAAAATGCCCACAGATGGTGCTCAAGAATATTCAGCATAGTTCCTTGGTTCTGTAGGACCGATAAAACTTGTTGCTGTTATTTTAAATGGCTTCTAGTGTGCAGCTCTTTACATGGAATCACTTTTCATGGAACTCTTACCGTTACCCGTGAGTCATCTTCTCCCGAAAAGCTTTCTCCAACTCCACCCCTTATGCATAACCAATACAGCTACTACTTTATCCTCCTTCAAATAAGTCCTGAAGATTCACTCTGTGTTACCTAAAGAACACACCCCGGCTGATCACAGCTAGGCAGGTGATGAGCTGTGACTGTTCCTCTTTCCCTTCTCCCTCAATCTTACTAATGTTCCCATACTTCGCCTTACCTCTAGCCTAATTAAAAAACAAAACACAAAGGAATAAAACCCAAACAATAAGTCATGTAACTAAGAAGGTTGCATTAATTCTTCACCACACTCATTTGCTTGTATTATATTCCCTGACTTGTATCTGTTTTGTCTCTCAAGACTGTAAAAGACCCCCCTCTTCCCAGGAAAACAATTTTGTCATATTGATGTTTGTACAGCCCAACAGAGCTTCAGCTTGACTGAATAATAATAATAACAGCAACATATTCTGAATAAAAGCTTTTAAGTATGAATTGAGATCTACAATCTCAAAACAATTTTGATAAATGGCTAGATGACAGATTACCAGAAAAATC